CTCTCGGACTATAGTCCGAACCCTGGTAATTTGTATCCGACGGCAATAAAGATAAATCCCTTTTCTCCGCCTCTACTTCCATCTATTATAAAACCCTCCCTTTATATTTTTTCTCTGTCATTCCATACGCTTCTATACGAGTGTCACTCTGAAAAGCGGTTACCGTCCGTGGTACTGTAAGATTGGCGGGTTTTGCTTTGACGTGCCAGATGAATTTAGTAATATAAAGCACTTTGGGTCACTTAAAAATGTAGGGTTTGGGTCGGCTGTAAATCACGTAACACGCGTAAAAGAAGAATAGTAGTGAACAAAATATGAAAATCCGACTAATTTATTGCGACAGTATTTAAATAATATTATTTAAGTATATTTTCCTATTGCTATGTAACATTAATCGTTTCAATAAAAAATTCTGATTGTATACAAAACTTCAAAAAATAACATTCTTGGTTAGTTTTGCGTTCTGCGACGTTTTTTTAGCCCTTGATTTCACCCTTAATTAGTTTTTTTTTACTTAAATAACTACTTAGATAACATCAAAGTACCGTTTATTTTTTTTTTACTAAATATGATTGTACTAATTATGCGCAGAATTCGTTGATTACATCATGTTCGTAAAACGTTCAATAAGAATAGAACTCAACATTATGTATTCGTTGCTTTACATAGAATCTTAAAAATGTATGCTTTTGTTATATTCTTTAAAAAATATGTTATTTTCTACATAAATGCAATATTTGTTTTATGGGTTTATATATGATCTATTCTTGCGATTTTTATTAAAGTTAAAACTTTTATAAGTATCAATATAAGTTTAATCGAATGTTTTTAAGATGTATTAATTAAAAGTATAGTGATTTAGTTTGAGTGCATTACTTTTGAACAAATCTTTTCTATAAAGAAATAAGATAGCGTGTAAAAATGAATCCCGTGTGTATAAGTTCTTGTTATTTAACTCGAATTTCCAAATTGGATGAAAAAGAGCTTCTTTTTTGTGCTTACATTTAATTTCAACATAACACGCGACTCTTTTAGTGAAGTTATTAATTTGTATTCTTTCGGGTCGGTTTTCCAACAATAAAAAAGCTCGTATAATAAAAATAGTCGGCAGTCAGCAGAATAAAAAGATAATTGGGAAGTTTGTTAATTAATGTTGATTTTTGTTTCGTTTTATCCTTCCTAATGTAAGAAATTATAAAATACGCTGTCTGAATACGATGTAATAATTTTACTTGTCAAGAATAGCCTTAAGAAATACGCTGGATAGGAAACTATAACTTAACATAATTAACGTTAAGTCTATACAACTTAATTTTATTTTTATCATCTAAAAATTCGTTTACTTTTTCAACTTCAGGCAGCATATTTTATTTGCATATTTTTTTTCTGGTATTCGTAAAGATGATGAATTTTTTCACTTTCGTTTTATGGACTAATTATTATATTAAAAAAATACAATTTCTATGAAATTAATTTTCCAGTATGACCTGAGATATAAAAAGAAAAATCGTGAGCGTTTACCTTTAATCAAATTCTTCATTTTACAATTATACCGAATTAATAATGCCGATCTAAATGTTTAATCGCGAATTGGTCTTTAAAATTAATGACAACAATTGCACGATAATACAATTATTAATTTAGACCATCATTTCTCTGTGTTGAACGAGGACACTTTTATCATTAATTTCCATCTGCAAATACCGCTGTGTGTTTTTCTGAAAGGAACCCTTGTAATAGCGTTGGTATGATGATTACAATGCTCTCCAAATTGCCGGTGACGGACAAACCGAGTTTCGCGTTCCCTTAATGTCATCAGGATTCTTACGAATTCAATTAACTAATTTTTGACAGCGTTTAAGAAAAAATGACAGAAAGAAAATTGACTTATATGATTTACGGATAATTGAGATTTGTTGTCAGCCGACAAATTTAATCATATTTTACGTCGTTTTAACTTTAAATTATGTTGACATTGTGACGAGCTTTTTATTTTAATTCGCTTAGACGTATTGCCAGTATCATTCAAACGGTAAAAGCGCCGCCAATTTATCCTTTAAAGCCAATGACAGTTTTTGTTCAATTTTGAAATTACGTGGTGTAGACGGGCGAGACGTGCGTCTTTAATTTACAAAATTTATAGTGCCAATCGTTTTACAAAACCAAGAAGTTCTGCCTCTAATGTTCGTTCAACGATTCAATTTCTGTCTACTTTCTATTTCCAAATCTTATAAAATATGTTGTGACAACATCACCGCGATGCTCTAAATGCATTTTTTTTAATGCTGAGCGCTAAATGCTCGTGTTTTAGTCTCACATAATTATTTAGCCAGCTGTACGCGTTCCTGTCAATAGTTTTTCTGATGGATCGTTTGTGTAATGGATGGGGTAGAAAGTAGTCGCTTTATGTATATTAAACCTCGCGCAGCCAATCTATCAAATACAACGTACCCTCGGTAAACTCACACCACCGGCCAGTAGTCAAGTGTATTACGAGTATCCTGAAATCGATAATTATAAAATGAGATTCTATTATTTGATCACGACAAAAACCCCATAACGGATTCGATGCGTGGTACTATCTATTAATACTAATCATACTATTCAAATAGTGATGAACAATATATTTTTTAAAGTTCTCATATAAATTATTTTTTTATATATTATATATGAAGTCAACACATTCGTCAGTCGAAGTATGATGAACGTTTATTAAAGAATATTTAAATTGATGACCGTGTAGTGATTCAACGCTTTTACATGTTTAAAACATTTCTTCTATCAGTGATATATATTTCACTTAGAGATCCCTATCGTGCATTATCTCATTTAATTCTTGATTAATTGAATAATTTTCTTGGGAAATGTTTGGGATCATTAATAAACTGACCCGTATTTTCCTCCTATTCTAAGGACGTTATAAAACAAATTATTTTGTTTTTGGCAGTATTCGTCTTCACTTATCTTTCACTGGTCTGATGATGTGTGAGAATAACCTGTCACAAGCAATACAAACATTTCTAGAGTTTAAAGCACTTCCTGACGAATTCTGTCAGCCGTTATCTACACTACGGCCATTAAAACCGGAAAGTTATACTGCTTGCTACTTCTCTTCCGCCTAATCTTAATTGAACTTTGTAGACGCGGACATAACTATCCGTCTCATTATCTAGTAGGATTGTTCAGCCAGCGGAATGAAATTTTGTAACTAATAAATTTCTTAATAAAACGTAGTATATATCCGAAAAACGTTGACTATACTTGTTCGTTAGTAAAATCTCTTAAGTTTGTACAACCCTTCGTTTCTTATGTATTTAATTTAATTCCAGATGGGATTCAAAAGAAAAAACTTTTTCATCCGCTCCAGAAGAATTCATGGCGTGTCAAAAAAAAAAAAAGAATACCCATGTGAGACAATAAACGTCATTCGACGTCAAACAAAAGTCCCTTTCTACAAACTGATAGAATGATTGAATAAAGGGTGCTTTCTATTATTCGCCTCTTCGCAGTAATGATATTAATTATAAACCCTTCTTTAGTTTTACCGAGATTTTTACATTCATTAATTATAATTATTGATTTATTTTATTCGTACCGTGAGAGCAAATTGAAAAATTTTATTACTTCACTCGAATCGTCTCAATTAATTAAATTTATATTGCGTAACGGTTGTAAGCACTTGTTTGTTGGACATAAATTATTTTGAAAGGACAGTTGGTGTACGTCAAACAATAAAAAAAAAAAACCGTTATAATAATAGCGTACGCAAAAGCAGCAAACTTATATCGCTACAAATAACTTTCAATGACATATAAAGAAGGGAGGGACCACCCTGACGTCTTAATTTCGGCAATTGATTTGTTATGTGCGGCAATAAGCCATCGGTTTTCGTTTTATGCTCTAGCGCATACCGAGTGTTCACCGCGATGATAAGAATTTATTGTTGTTATGTTTTACAGTTTGTGTGTTACTTATTCAGCTGATTAATCAATACCAAACTTTTCCCGTGCATGAGTGTTTGTTGTTCAAGCTGAAATGCGCCTAAAACGTTTTATGACATATTAACGTAAAGCAAATTGAAGAGTTGGTCTGGAAGCGGAAACTTTAGGTCTCGCGACCACCGTCAAGATCTCGAATTTTATGGGAATATTCTCTCGGTACTTTCAGATTTCTGTCTATCGAAATTATCTTGCCATCGAAAACAATTCTTAAGTTTCCTGGCGCCCATTCGCATTTTCCAAAAACGTCGTTATCGCAGTGAAACTTTTCGTTGAGCGAATGTAGACTCGTATTTTGTAAAAAAATGCAGAATTAGATAATAATGTTGCATAAACATTCAAAGTATCATTATATAGCTGAAATATAAACACCATTTAAATTTTTTTTACATAAATAAACTATTGTAAAAAAAGTATTATTTGGTTAAAAATATAATAATAGCCGTCCTTATAATATTATTCAAATGGAACGTCTGAAGAAAAGTTATTTTATGTAAATTGAAAAAGGCACTTACCAAATGACGATTTTTTCTTTAGTTCGTTCAAAAGGTTAGTCAATTCCATTATATTTTTATCCTGACCAATACTTGTAATTTTTACAAGTATGTATATTTTATTTATATAACAGTGTTTCATGCCGCAAGTGAATAAACACTTTAGGGTATATATGTGAATTTTTCCAACAATTGTCTATTCATATTTTATCTCAGGTTACAAATAATATAATAATAAAAGTTTATGCGTTTCTCTAAAATAAACAAAAAGCTTTTCCGATTAAATATTACTACTTTTCCTGGCATTACATAAATTATGTACGCTATACCCCATGAACAGTTATTTTAATATTTATTTACTATTTTTTTGGGGGTAAATTAAAACTTGAACTCGCCAAAGACTTGTTATATGTTATGAAATTTAGACGTACACTTAAAGTTGGTTCTGTATTACTTAAATCTTTTGCACTACATTTATTAATTATGTACTTTGTTTTTCTTTTTACAGACGAGCCCATCTAAGAAATTGCTTAGAGAAACTCAAAGAAATGGTTCCGCTGGGCCACGAGTCGTCTCGGCATACAACCCTGGGACTTCTTACTAAAGCTAAGCGCTTTATTAAGGTACCGTTATTAACAACATTCAATTAAAATATAGTATATTCCGTTATCACTAAATAATATTTACCATTCTATTGGCCTTATAACATTTTTGTGAAAATTATATAAAAACTACACAGAGTAATAAATTTTGTGAAAAATAATGATTTTTTTAGAAACTATTTAAATTTTTGTAAATGAATTATTTAGTTCAAAAAACTCTAGATTAATATGTGGTTAAGAATTTATTTTCTAACAATTTTTACTATCCGATCAATCGTTTGCGATTTAAGAATGTTTTCAAATTTGAATTTAAAGTAAAATTTACATGATTTTCTTAATCAGATTTAATCAATTAAATCTTAAGGAAATTATTAAGTGAAAAATGGTTATTATTCTTCAAAATAACTTCATTTAATGTTTTTAATCCTGAAGAGATGAAATAAGAAAACACGTGTTGTTATAATTTTAATCTTTTCAAAAATTAAAAATGTTCAAATTATTTTTATAAAATGACTACTTGACCCAAAATTGATTATCCTGTAAACACCATTATATACCCTATTCTGTAATACATGTACTTTACAGTAAATAATATATATAATGAAAGATTATACAAAGTGTCTTTGAGAAACTGTCCGGTGAGACTACATCAAACTGAATTTTAATTAACAAAGGTCCATAATTATCGTCTTTCCTTAATGAAACAACGAAGGGTTAAACTTTTACATAAGACCGTAGAAATTAGACTAGTAAAGAGAACCCATATTACGGTTTATTTATAAAACATAGTTACTACAAATATTGAGATATTTTATTCATATAAAATTAACTATATGCTTCTATGTTAAATTTAGAAGACAGCTTTACTATGTTTGCTTTTTATCGCCACTTTTTCTCAGCTCTTATTGAACGAATTTCACTCGATAATTCGTCAAAGTATCAGATATTGTTTTTAGTTTATGTTCTAGTCTACTTGGTCTAGTTTTAGAAAATTCTAAAAACAATTAAAATTTCAGAGAAAGCAAATTTTACGTTATTTCTTACTAATAATTGCTATCATTTTTTTAATATTAATAAGTCAAAGCAAATACTTTTATAGAAACACCTTAGATTTTAGGCCTTTTTTTTAAAAAAAAAAGAAACCAAGCCTTTTATTATAAACTGTGGGTGAGGGTGGTTAAAAAGCAAGTTTTGTATAAAATGTGAACTTTTTAAAGTTAACTTATTTTGTTAAAATGTTACGGAAATACTATACTATTTAAAAATATTTCATGTTAAATTTTATGTTACATATTACAGTTAAAAAAAATATGAATTAGTCCCGACTACCTTATCTTCTATGTGAACATGACTGTTATAGTTAAAAAATATGCTATTCATGTCTTAAAATTATCGATTTTATCATTTAAATTTTCAGATATGTATATTTTATTTATTACCTTATGATATTTTCATTGGTAAATTATTTTTTTTTAAATGACTATTTTATATTATAGAATGTTGACATTTTTTTTATAAAGTAGAATCTTTTCAACTTAAATTTTGAAAATGTTGGAAAACTCAACCGGAAATCCTGCGTTCTTTAAATATATAATGAATGCGAGGTTATATAATATACTACTAATTTAAAAAAATGTCTCAACGACTTGTCTTCTATATGTTAACGGCCCTTAATGTTAAACATAAAATGTTACCTTTTTATAAAATAATTATTTTTTGTAATTTATTATTTTTATACATATTTAGCGTCTATATAATAGATCAAACAGTATAGACATAAAAAAGGGTTTAGTACTCCCCAATTTTAAAAAAATATTTCCTAGAAAAATATAAAATTAAATAAATATTAAGTCTTATTATTTTTATGGTGATTTTTTGCAAATTTTAGTGTCCATTGAATAAGTATACTAAAGGTATTTCCTCTTCCTTTTAATTTGTTTTAGCTGTTAATAGCTTATAAAAACTATAATTTCAGTTCGCACTGAAATTATCATGACCTAATGATTTTTAGAATAATCGATCTTTCTTTCAGCACTATCATCACCTTGAAGCGTTTTATGAAAGTTATTTTAAACTCTGTTAGATTTCAATTTAGAATGGATATCTCTATGTCGTGCCCTACTGTACCGTCTCCAGGCGACTGGACTTGTTATAACATCTTGTATTCTATTGTTAAAAATTTCTATAGAATTTTTAGTAGTATCAATAATTATACAGAATTTAACGTTAGTTTACACGGCTAGTATGTTATAAATCTGACGAAATATTTAATCGAATTTTTTAAATACAAAATTTTTTAATTTTTTACAAAAAAACTCTATTTTATTTTATAAAATAACGATTGTCTTGCATACACAATCTATAAAACAATTTAAATCGAATTTCATTTGAATTAAAATTTATTCAGTTAAAAGTTGAAAATTAAGTTAGAATTTCATGTATGTCGAAATATAATTGGATTTGTACCTTTTATAGTCACATTATTATTAAACAATTTTGTGAATATCGCTGATAATGTTACAGATGAATGTGTCACATGACTACAATTAAAAGTGTACCGTTGAGTTGCTTTGCCACACCCATTCTCCATCGCCCCAAGAGTATTGAGACTTTTAATCCTGTTAAAAGCATTTTATTATGTATAAGGAAAACTTAGTTGGCGACGAGGAAGTGCGAGTGTATGCGTCTGCATAGAACATGGCTTAATTATTTTACATGAAGGTGTTAGTGATGGAGCTTTTATTTTGCATATCAAGAGTTCCCAAAGTAACAACACATACCAGCGATTATCGCGATTTTTTCTATGGAAATATAATAGAAGATATTAATTAATTAAATCAAATGTAGACTCTTTGAATGAAAGTGGAATGAAATATGTGTAAACTAGAATTATTTAAAATTTCCTGATGTTGATTTATTATTTGCAGTTTAAAAATATATTTTTTCATCGTATTGAAAATTTTTTACTGAAATTTTTATCTTTAGCGAGTTTGTCTATGATTTTTTTATTAATAACATCTTGTAAAGAGACAGTGACGACGAAAACTATAACTATAAAGTCGGAATTTTTTTTAAGCAATATTTCCAATACAAGAACTGCTGGATTTTAAACTTGCAAAATAATGCATTAAGTTTAATAGGAAATAAATAAATATTTCCACTGCCATTTCAAAGCGCTGTCTAGGTTAGATAGGATGTACGCAGAAGTGGGCAACTTCTTTGTACTCCTCGTTGTAAGAACATGTAACAGTTATTCTAACTGAAGATGTAATAACATCGTAACCTTATGAGACGTGATGAAATCCAGAACTCAGAATACTATAGGGATCGAGATAGATGAAAACCTTATTTAAATATCAAAAAGAACGTATAAGAAAGAGGATTTTCGCACTAGTCCTTTACTCTTCTTTTGGTTTGCAAACAAAGAAAAAACGATAGCTTTTATTTATTGTGTGGGACTTACTTTTTCTCTATTTTCCCACTTTTTAGCGGTGTTTTCGTAAATGGGAACAAAGGAAAAAATTCTGTCAGAATTAATTTTATTTACATTATGCTGGTGCACTGAGCTTTTGTTTTCAACTTTATGGACTATATTAATGTGATTGTATTAATAAAATTAAAAGCGAGATTATAGTTAATGTCTATGTATGCACAATCTAAGCATTAGCTCAATATTTTAATTGGTTAAACCTTATTTTACATTATTAAAATTTGCTTAATTGAATAAATTAGGTCAATTCTTTTTTTTTTATATTATATTATATAAGAAATTTCATTTCTTAAATAAGTTTTTGTTGAACATTTTATTCTTGTTTTATGGTAACTAAAATCCTGAGCATAATTTGATGTACAAATTTTAAATAAAATCATATTAATATTATTAAATTGGATATTGTGGAAAAAAGGAAGCGCTTACTGCTGTTGTATCATTATTATGTTTATATGTTCAAGGCAACCGTAAATCTAAAATCATCCACAACAAGTATTCAATTTCCCTAACTTTACTCCTTTCAAGTGCCCAATTAGCGGTTCTATTATATTTCTGAGTGATCAATTATCCTTCCAGTTATGTTAGTAAATGCGTTCATTGAATAATACACGTATGTTATAGTTGTATAACGCAGTATGTACCCTTTATTTAATACCCGGTGACGTGTAAAATCGAGTATTCTTCAGTGATCAAAATGAAAAAACGATTTGTTGATAATACAATTACTAATTTTGAACTTTCGTTTATTTCTTAACTTTAAAGTAAGGGATAAATTAAAATATATATAATAAAAAGCAATTAACAAAATATGATACATTCCAGACACTACTTTATTCCCTGCCTATTTATTTTAACTATCAATATATCTTTTCTCCAAAGCCAGAATTACAATCTTTTTCTATTAATTTTGTCAATTATGTATTCAATGAGATTACATTCTCTAAATTCTCTAAATATTATCTTATATTTGGTTCAGTCTATTCTTATTTCGTTGGCTTCTCCTTTTTCCTTTCATGTCTTAATATTAAGTTCTCAGATATTCTCCTTCCGCAATGTTGTTCTTTTACTACCGAATGTTATGCCATCTCTTCGGCCCTTGAACTTTTTCAATACTTCAACTGTTATTTCTTTTTTTATTCAGCTGTTTTTTTAATTTAACTATATTTATTGTAACACCAAAAACGTATCTGATGTTTTTTTATTATTAAATTTTATCATATATTTACTCCTAACTTAAATAACGAGTTATACTTTAGTTTAACTTATTTATTAATTCTTATCGCTAATTGTTAAGCTATATCAATACTTTTTGTATTGAAAGCTATAAAAAAGTATATAAAACATGAGTATATATTTTTGCAGAATATTTAACCTGTCAAAATAATATTACACAGTATACAGTTTTTTGTTGTCACACACGTGGTTCGCACTACACGTGTTCTAAATATAAAATAAAATTGTCGATCTACCACGAGTAGAATAAACCAGAGAGAACATTTTTTTTTTTTTTTATATTTGTCGAATGAACCGT